AAAAAATCAGAAAAAAACGCGACTAGAATCGCTGTCACAGTTGCAGTTTTCAGCTGTCTATGTAGAGGCATTTCTTTGCACGACTTTCGATAAAACAACTGACATTACTACGTTCTACTAGTTTACCGGACGACTGGCTTATCATTATAAAAAAAAATTCTTGCTGAAGTTGTTCTTTCAATGTCCCCTTGAGAAAACCTCACTTCCCCGTCTAGAAGAAATGGCTGCTTTTCAAAAGGAAAAGTCCGACAATGATCAAGCATCCGGAAATCGAAATATTTGTCTTTTTGCACTGAACTCTTTTATCGGTATTTACAGAGAATAGTGGAGGCCCAAGGCTTTTGAAGACACCTAGAAGTTCTGATACCATATTAGCCCTTTACAGCTTTTCATTATACCCTTTCCAAAAAAAACTACCCTAAGTTGTCCCACCAGTTCCATTGTGATAACCGCATTCTAAAGAAAAAATCAATGAATCTTTAAAAACGGCTTGTCCGAGTAACTGTTACGGTTGCTATCCCTACGTATATTTCGATTTTGGAAGCCATCACTCAGGGCTGCTAGCAAAGGAAAGGAACAAAAAGTGAAGGGATTTTCTGCACAATTCTGCACTTCGTAGAGGTGACTAGCAAACCGGAAGAAGGCAGCGAGGAAAAAGGATGAGTACGAAGAAGCTTAAGTTAGCCGTTTGGTCAGCTCCGCCTGATACATCTTGTTATGACACCAAAACACCTCCCAGTAAATCCGTCTTTTAAAGTCACTGTAAAGAACTGTATGCTGATTGATGTCTTCAAACAGTTTGGTAGAAGATTTTTGTTGGCTTAATTCCAAAGCGATATATATCGAATTCTTTATAGCGTGGTGAACTTTGTTCGTTGTGGGTCCCTCATAATTTTTCCCAGCTTTTTCGGGCACATGTGACCCAGCTTTCCTTCAGATTTGTCTTTTTTTCCGTTTTCCATTTCGTCCTCCTTTGTCGGACACATTTTTCCCCAATTGCGTCACTTAATCCTCTGTGGATAAACAGTACTTGTCCTTTTTTTAGGCTGTCAAGAATTTGATTCTTCAAGGCACTTTATTTTCCAGGTGTCGAAAGAAAGTTGAACATATGCTTCGATGCTTGTTTCTGGTAGAAGGACCTATGAGTTGATTTCAACCGCTCCAAGGTTTATTAAACTTAGTGTTCGTCAGAAGTCGGCAAAATTTAAACGGAAAGTCGCTCGTTCTCTTCCACTCAAATCACCGACTGCTCTCGCCTTGGATCATTTTGATTTTTACTATGGTCCTTTGTTCGGAAAGCAGTGGCCATCTGTTCGTTTGGGATTACTATCACCGCATAAGTATATAGCTGTTGCCAACATCTTTTCTTCGTAAGTTTACTGACATTTTGATTCATGCTAATTTTTACTTTTTTTCATAGTCTTGGCTCTGGCGGCTTTCATTGTCATCTTGTTGTTCATCGCCATAGTTTCTCGAGATAATTTTAATGGTGTATCTGGAGCGCTGCTCACTTTTTTTCATTCAGGTAAATAGACTGCATAAATAAAATATGCATAGTTGGTACTTCAGGTCGCCAGATATAAACGAAGCTATTCTCCGTGAACGTGGTGCGTTCAATCTCCTCGACCAGTTACTCTCGGTGAAAACATCACCACTGACTGAGACAGCATCTAGGGAGCCTGACGGAAATGATGAAGAAAAGAGGCAAAGTTTTAAAGCAGAAGACTCGCCTAAGGTTGTTTTATATGTAGTCATATCGCGAAAGTGCCGCAACTTTTAAAATTCCAACTTTGTTCTTTATTTATTTTTAAAAATTAGTTTTTTCTTCTCATTACTCTTGGATAATGTTTAGCTAGTGCTAGAAGTAGATGAGACGCCTCGTGATGAATCTGGTCTGAACGAATTTAGACCGTCCACGAAAACCTTTACCTTAGGTGAGCTAAAAAGTGGTGAGCACAGAAAACGTCGTGATATAACGTAAGTTGGAAAAATTTTTTTCAATTTGCTTCACTATTTTTGAATTTTTTTGAAAGCGTGAAAGAAGTGTGTTGGAAACCAGAAATAGTAATTAAAAATTATTCAGCCAGATAATGCGTACATTTATTATTGTTTTTTTCTTTTTTTTTTTAGAATTACTGGTTTTGAAGGGCAAGGTCTTGTAGTACCAAAAGAAAATCACCGTATTAATTACCCAGAGAATTTAAAACTCTATGTTTATCCTCGTGGAGATTTGACAGATTTCCCATCACCAGATAAGGATACAACTGGGGTTCCTAGTCAGCGTCTTTGAGTCTTATTGTTTTTTTTCTAAGATTGGATTTCATTTATAGAAAAAGCATAATTATTTTTAAAAATAGTTATGAAGAACTTGAGAAATACTAGGGATGACGAGCTGCGTAGGATGTTTTAGAGGATGATATTAATTTTAGCTTGGTGGTTGCTTGATGGCGGATCAATAGTGCCTGTCCTAGCTTTAAATTTAGAAAAGGGTGAAACTTTGTTGGATATGTGTGCAGCCCCTGGAGGAAAAAGTTTACTAGCAGCTCAGACTTTGCTACTAGGTATTGTACACATTTCCATTTCAAAAACAACGCACTAGTAAGCAAACCATGACTCTTTTTTTGAAATTACCTTTACGCTTTTAAAGGTGATTAACGAACGTTTTATTCCTTTTTTATATCTTATCTTAACAGTTCAATTTTTTCCTGAGTAGATAAACTGGTATGCAATGACGCAAAAATGTCTCGCCTTGGGCAGTTACGCAGAGCTTTGGCTTCATTCATTCCGAGCGTTACTGGGATGGCTGACAGAATAATCTTGAAACGAAAAGACGCCGCCGATTTGACTGCATGGAACGAGCTAGAAGCATACGATAAGGTTTAGTCACTACTGTTTTATCTGCTAATGAATATGAAATCATTTTATCACTTATTAGTGAAAAATAAATTTTTAAAGGTTTTAGTCGATGCACCTTGTACAACTGATCGACTCTCACTAAGCGTAGATGAGAACAACATTTTCTCTGTGAATATGACTACAGAGCGACTGAATCTTCCGATTTTGCAGACGAAACTTTTAATGTTTGTTGATGCCAGTTTTATTGTTCAAACTTCATCTAGGTTATGTAAATTTGATTAGTTTTACTTCAGTAACATTTGAAAAAGTTTTGCATAGGAGTGTTGTTTTACTTCTTCGTTGTAATTCACTCATTTCATTCTAGCATCATTTTCGTGCAAGTGCTGTGTTTTTGTACTTTTCAGAAATGGTTTACGTTCGCTGAAGGTTGGTGGTTCACTTGTTTATTCCACTTGTGCCTTATCGCCTGTTCAAAATGAAGTAGTCGTTGAAAATGCAATTGCTATTGCTGCGGAAAGATTTGATATAAAAGTATGCATTTATGATGTTGCTTTACTTTATCTTACGCTTTATTTATTTTATATTTTTAGGCAGTGGAGTTGTCTCTGGATGAGCTGGTAGTAGACTTGTCTCGGTTACGTTTATACAAAATCAACAGATGCAAATTAGGTTTTCTTGTTGTACCTTTTTTGCCGTCTAACTTTGGTCCTATGTATTTTTGTAAACTTAAAAGAGTTATTTAGTTCCCACTGTAAAAGTTTTTATGTGTTCGAGAAGTTTTTTATTGGTTTGTCTTAGGCTAGCAATATTATCTTTAATGAAATACACTGGTTAATGTAATCTTAATGTAGAGTGATAGAAGACAAAATTTTTTGTCGTTAAACAGCCAATTAATTTAGAATCTGTAATTTTGCTTCACAAAGGATCGCAGAATGATTTTTTTTTTTTGCTCTTTTTTGAACTTTTAATACCTCTTCATGTTACTGACATGTCTTTCATTGTAGAGTTTTTTTGAATATTGTGTTTGTCACTTTTGAGGAAATTGTAATAATTTACTGTCTTCAATAATCACCTTTAATATTTGGATTATGCTCAAGATATTCCCTGAAGCAGTCTCGAATGGGATTAAATGAACCTAAACAGAATAAATATTTTGTGTAGTCTGGGGGTACACCATGGGTTGTTTCACAGTATACTACACATTCGGGGATAACTCCTTTCGCTCTGCAGCATGCTGAGTGGTCTTGTTTTGACGAAGCACATTCTAACATTTGTCCTACTGTAGGCCCCTTTGATTGGCAGGTTGCTAAGTAGAGGAGCACCTGTAACAGTTAACTTATTAATTCATTCCGCTGACCTTGTTGGTCAGTGTTCTGTTGGTCTTTGTTCGTTTAGAATTTTGAAAAGACTCTGTTCTATG